CACCACGGAAAATACATCAGCTCAGCATGTAGCAGGAACCTACTGCTGGTGTAGATGCCGTTCACCTCCGTCTCCAGGTTGTACAGTTAAGCATTTTGGAGAGAGTGGGGCCCTCATTTGGAATGCAAAATAGAAGCTTTAGGAGTGCAGGAACCTGATTCAGGGAATATTTTTAAACTGAAGGTAAGACGACGAAGGTGCGAAGAATAATGCCGAGACAACGTACGTAACAGGCTCAATATGACACAGGGTATGCATATAACCTTAAAAGTGCTATGTAAATGTAGGCAGCTGCATTATTATTTTAATTGTGTACTCATGTACAAGAAATACCTGATGGAGTAGACAGAGCCAGATTCAGAGACAGGAAGACCTGGTTTCAAGTCCTACCTCAGACAGGTAGTGGCTGTGTGACCCTGGGCCAGTCACTTCACTAACACTGTAAATTACAGAGCAGTTACCAATTGGCATTGTTAGAGGGGAGTTTCCTCACCAGGAATTTCCAACACCTAAGAAGCCACAGGTCCTGTCCAAAAAACCCCCGCAAAAAACCATCATAAAAACTTTCTTTGAGAAAAGTATCAGGAAAGTACCAGGCAGAGTGAGCTTTAAATATCACGACCCCCTCCCCTATCCCAAGCTGCTATGTTGCCCTTACTGAAGGGACAGTCATTCCTGAATCAACTGTCTGTGAACAGACAGCTGCTGACCGGTCAGAGCAAAGATCAAAATGAATAAAAATCTAGACAAAAGAATGAAAAATGGAAAATCAGTATATAGTGGGAAAAGTATTGATTTGGGAGTCATGAGATCTGGGTTCAAAACCTGCTTATGGCACTTACTGCGTTCCTTACCTTTGGCAAGTCATTTAATCTTATTGGCTTTTAAAACCCTTCACACACTGCCCTCCCCTTTCTAATCTTCTTACACATCCCTCACCATCATCTGGTGACTCTGGCTTCCACCACCAAGACTCTCCCATCTCTCCATCTCTGGTCTCTGGAATGCCCTCCCTCCTCATCTCAGGCTCCAGGCTGCAAGCCCCAGCTAAAATCCCACCTTCTAATGGAAGCCTTTCCCAGCAGCCCTTAGTCCCAAAGCCTCCCGCTGATCCCATGTTTACATATGGAAAGCACTTAGCATGCCTAAGGCCTGTCCTCAGCAACCTTCACACATCACTGCAGAAACAACAGCACCGGCAAAGGAACAAAACCACAAAGTAAATAAATAACCCGAGGGGGTAAGGGCAAAGAACCAGGGCAATGGGCATTAGTGCCGGTACCAAAGCTTTTTTTAAACACATCCCTAACGAACATCACCAGCTAGGTTTGGGCACTCGGCACTGCCTAGAAAACTTCCAGATTCTGGCAGAGCCTTCACCCTCCTGTGAGGATCCCAGTGACCCGGCTTGGCGGAAGCTTCTGCCCCAGTGTCTTTTCCTGGCAGCATTCTCAGTGGGGGGCAGCCCAGGGGTCCCTATCTTCAGAGGTGTGTTCAAGAGCAACCCAACCCAAAGAGGACACTACTTGCTATTCGAATCACACCCTTAGCAGCTGCTTTTGCCTGGGATCAGAGAAGTCTATGAGTTCAAAAATATGTTCTTGGTTTTCATTTCCCCTTCCCTCCTGGCACATAACCTCCTGAATGCTCCAAACAACCTCCCCTCGCCACTTCTGCAATGCCAAAGAGGAGCCCTGCTGGGTGAGTGGGCGATGTCGGGCTTCCAGCTTTGTGGGTGGGGGCTGCTTTCAGAGAGGAGTGAGCAGCAGTCGAAGCCAGCTACGCACTCTTCCTGATGGACTGATTTTCCATTTCCTCTTTGTACGCGGGTCAGCTGGCCCACTTGGTGAGAGGACAGTGTTTATGAAGCTGTTTTCCGGGCGTGTCCCCACAGACCAAACACCATCACAGGGGAAAACGAGATGGAATCCTTCCCGGCCCAGCAGCTGGCTACTCTGCAGATGTGTGTTGTGATCCACAAGAGGCACCAGGCAGGAGGGTACAGATGACTCAGTGTGACCCATCCCAACCGCACACATGTCCTCCTAATGACAGGTCCTCTCAAAGGGCGACCTTTGAATGCTTTCCAGCCTAGTCTTTTCTGCTGTCTAATCCAGACTCAAAGATCACTAGCAGCAGAAAGAGACTCCGAGGTCATCTAGTCCGGTCCGAAAATGGCTCGTCTGAGAATGCATCACAGGTTTGTGGGAAAGCCGGGCCTAGCAAGCAGCTCTCCTCAGCATCCAATCACAACATGGCTGCATTTTCCCCAACATGAAACATAATTAGAAGAGGGAGATGAAGGCCGAGTCCAAACAAAGCTTTGTGGTCCATCACCAGAGAAATCTGCAGAGACGATGCTATAAGAAGCACCATTTTCCCAGTCGTGGTGATGAATGTCTGCTGCTCTACCCACTCTCATCCAGTCCCCCTCCTGTGGAATAACACACATTTGTGAGGCAGCCGGCTGGAACAAGGGTACAGACTGTGGCCGTGCGGCAGAATGACTAACTGGCCCACACGGGGACAGAGCCTGGGATTCTGCCCTCGCCATCTTGGCTCGAGCGCACCGGGCTGCCAGCACTACCCATAACTGGCTGCTACCCTGCATGCCAGGACTTCTACCCTGACCTGGGAATGCCCTGAAAACTGAGCGGCAACCTCGACCCCGAGCTACGGCCCAGCAGGAACGGGTAATTCCAATACGTGCCAGCTGGATGGTGAATGAATAAACCCGGAACGACCCCGAGGAGGTGGGTCATGTGGGCTGGGCGGCCCTCTGCCCTCCCTCTGACTGGCACTGGGTTCTAGGAGAACGTAGCTGACCACCTCAGACAGACCTCCTAGTACAGAGAGCCCACAAACTCCACCAGACCTCCACTGGGGGTCCGCATTGGCAGATAGAAGCTCGAGGAAGTGCTTCCTTGCACTGCAGGCCCATTTCTCTTGCTCCGCAGCTGGTGAGTCTGAAGCCACTTGGAGACCATCTCCAAAAAACAATTTTCATCACACGCACAGTACAAGTGGCATGGAGAGAACTCCCAAACTGCTCAGTTGGTTTTTACAGTGTCCTGATGACTCTTCAGCCTGTTTCTTTCTTGAAAAACACAACTTGGCTCCTTTGCTAGTCCAGAAAAGGGACAGTACTTTAACTCCCCATCTAGAACTGCCAAATAAAAAAGCCAGGGCACCACAGCAGTTTCTGGAGCACCACAGGCCACGGAAGGCTAATGGACTGATTTTACCCCCCCAACCCCCATCTGCCCAGGATTTCTTTTACTTGTGCACCTACACCAGCAGCCAGAGGCACATTTATCAGCACAAAAGGTCTTTTCATCATCATGCCAAGGCCTCAGTTTGGGAGCTCTTACAGAGGGAATGCTTATCCCTGTCTACCTCCTCTCCACCTTTGCCCAGTTTGAAAGGAGGCCCAAACTGGCAACAGGAAAGCCCCCACCTTCCCAACCTCTTTTGTTGCCCCTGTTTGAGGCATAGCCAAAACTCAAGAGCAGCCCCAAAGGGGTAGAAGACAATGGGGTTGATGCTCAGGAAAGGAAGGCTAGAGGAGAAGGCTTCTAGAAGATGACATGCATGACTCCTATGTATAAATAAGCCAAATCAGCGCATGAGAGAGAGTCTCAGAGAAAGGGCAGGACCTCCAGGTTCTGCTCAAGAATGGGACCAGTGGGTACAATCTGTGGGGAAACTGGTCATACAAAGACCATGGAAAGCACTCTCCGTGGCCAGTGGGCATGAGAGGAGAGAGAAAACAAAGGATTCCCCAGGTCTCTGTACACTAGCCATTCAGGGTGGCAATCAGTAGGAGGATGGTGGGCCCAGCTGGGCCCAGGAAACTGTGCCCCCTCCACCTAAGCCATCTGTCCACTCCCAAGGACCTGCCACTAGTTCTGACAATAGCAGAGGATGAGATTTGAGGATAGGTACCAACTGGAGGGGAGGGAGAGGAGAAGAGAAGGAAATGGGGTAGGGAGAAAGGAGGAAATAGGGAGAGGGGAAAGAGAAGGAAGAGGAAGAGAGAATATGTGTGTGTGTGTGTGTATTTTTAGGGAAACAGCATAAGGAGAGGGGGGAACCAGTCACCCCCACTGTCATTACCATATCCCTACCAAGAATAATAGCTCACACCCACTTAACCATCTGGCTACATCAGTTCTTATACTTGTATGAAAGGGAAATATCTTAAGGTAATTTTCTTGGCAGGTAAGGTGGCTGCCCTCATGGGGCATCTTCGCTAAGAGGAGAGAAAGAGAAATAGGTAAGATCTCAGTATTCAGCACCCCACCTGAGGACAGCACCACTGCCAGCTTCGAGCAGTGTGCCGTGTGGCACCACATCGTGATGGCCCCACCAGACCCCTTCCCAGAGTTTCCCATCCTTCCTTACTGCCCCCACCAAACCCCATGCCCGGATCCTTCTGTTCAATCCCTTTCACACTCAAACAGCAGGCATACTTGGAAGCGCTTCCCAGGAAGATGCCCAAGCAATGCTGTTCACTGCTCCCCCTTCACCAGCCCCAGGCAGCAGATCGAGCTCCCAGAATGTCAGCGCGTCAGCGCTCTCAACCTGGAAGGGAATTCCACCAGTACAAAGTAGCACAAAGGCCTCATGTTACAAATGAGAGGAATGAGGGCCTGTTTCAGTTCATCAGATCACGTGACCCCACACCTAGAGCTCGGCCCTTGGAGGCCTTTTGTCCAAGCCCCTCATTTTACAGATGAGAAGACCCAGGCCCCAAGAGACTAAATCACATAGGTGGTAAAGAGCAGACCTGGGCCTCAAGTCCATGCCTTCTGATTCCCAATCCAGTGCCCTTTCCATCAGACCACGCTATCAATGATTAATGCTCACATTCAAAACCAAGGTCTCCAACCTCCAGCTCTGGTTTCGTAACCCCCCAGAGGGTGGGCTTGGCTTCTTCAACTGCTACCCAGTAACCAAGGCCACAACCTTGCCCTCACTTTGCCCTGCCTCCCGCACGGGGCATACCATCGGTGCCCGGCTCCATGAGATAGGAGGACCTCACCACGGGCCTGTCGGACAGCTCGCCCTGCGCTCTCTCTGCCAGGCAGGTGGTGGGTTGCTCACTCCTCTGCATTTCTGCCTTTGCTGTGAGGGCCCCAAGTGGGAAGCTGGAGAAGGGGGGGGGGTTGGAAAGAGGGAAGGAGGGAGCAGAGGGAGGAGGGTTGGGGAGCAGGAAAGCTGCCTCTCCCGGCCCGCAGCAGGGCCTCTGTTGCCTTGCTTGCTGAAATTCTTCAAAAGGCCAAGGGCACCCTCAGGGGAGGATTCTTGGCAGCCAGGATGATCCTTCTTCAGGCCTTCAGGGAGAGTGTGACAGAAGGAAACATTTTGTTCCTGCGCTGCCCATGTTCTTCTGTTGTATTGGCAGCTCCTGCCCAGGCACTGATTCCTCAGGCTTCTCAGGCCTGAGCAGCGGAAGGGGTTTCTGGAGGGATGGTTCCAGCATCTGTTTCTCCAACCACCCTTTCCTCCTTCCTTCCTGAATCGGAGTCTCAAAGTTGGGAGCAACCTTCTAGAAGGACGCCAGCCACAACACCCTGACAGACGGACAGGTATTCTTCCTGTGTTTGCACAAAGACAGTAACAGGGAGCTCACCACCTCACAAAGAGGCATCCCGGTCCATTTCTGAACCGAGCAAAAGCTTTAGAAAGTTCCTCCGCACTCGGAGCCAAAAATCAGCTTCCCCGTAGTCATGGCAATCAGCCTAAATAAGGGAACATAAAAAGCCAGTCGGGGTGGAGGGGTGGGTACAGAGAGAAGGATATCACACGATGCTGAACTGGCAAAGCTGAACATTTTTTAAAATCCCAACCCAAAACAAAGTATTAGGAAGGTTCACAGTACAAAGGGCAGGCAGAAGCAAACTGGGATGACCTGTTTGCACAGATGGTAACGCTTCCTCCACGCTGATGTAACACGGCCCAGACGCTCCCAGCAAAACAGCTGGCCGCTTTGCATGCAGCCTCAGAAACGAGCCTGCAGGGAATCCAAGGTTTCCGTTCGCTGGAGCGCAGCAGGCTGCGTCCTAGCGGTGCCGAGTAAATAGAAACAGCTTCCATATGCCGGCCATAAAGCAAAGATGGGGAGGCGAAGAGAGGGGAGGCAGGCAGAAGGAAACAACTTCCTTGCACCAAAAACCCTCTCCATTTTGAAAAAGGGAAATCAAGACTGGCCAGATCACCAGAAGCTCAGGCACGAGAGTCATGATCTAGGATGCAGAGTTGCTGGGAGAAGCCTAGCTGGCTGGGACCAGGGGCCATGGGGCAATGCTGGCTGAACCAAGGCCAGGGTTCTGCTCTCTTCCAGGCTTCAGGGAAGATGGGAAGGAAAGAAGATGAGGAACATGGAGAGGAAGAAGGCAAAAAATTCAGCTCTACACACACAGACACACATCACACACAGACACACACACACTCATTGCCCAGACTATTTTCCCAGGAGGCTGTGGTGTCTAGAGAGAGGAGCCCTGGACACCAGGTCAAGCCACACACCCCCAAGCCTCTGTTTCCTCATTTGTAAAACAGGGCCAGCTACAGCTATGCTTTCTGAACTTCATGGGGCCGTCGTGCAGACAAATGAGAATATTTCCAAGGCACTTTGAGCCCTTTAGAAATGGGTCCCCACCAGAATGATAACAAGGAATCATCCCCATCATTTGCCAGTTGTCACTGGGAGCCCCACTCCATGGGAAAATGTTGAAAAAGGAAATGAAGGTAATAATACAACGAGGCTGACTAGGTATAGCAGCACGACAGAAGTGGGGTTCTGTGGCTGGCTGTGCTCCCCAAGGTCCCCAGATTAAAGCCTTCGAAACAATGGGAAGCAATTCTGCCAGAAAGAAGCAGGGTGAACATTATTCTCTGCCCGGCCCTTCAGATTCTGGCAAATGGATTCGAGATGGAGAGCCAACAGGCCCCGCGTTAACACTGGGCATTAGAACAGATGTCCATGAGGGCAGACCCTGCGGCAAATGGTAGGGGCTGCAGAAATGCTGAACAGCAGCAGGCCGACCCCCTGAGAGCCTGGGAAGGCCTGCAAACCGCTCCCCTCTCCTCACCCAGATGCCCAGCTTCCAGCAGCAGCTTGGCCCCACCCCCTGCCTGTCGCCAAGAAGAAAGGGAAAAGGAATGAGTTCAATGTCCAATTCCAGATCACAAATCTAGGGTCTTGGGGATCATTTAGCCCAAAGCCTCATCAACCAGGTGATCTGTTCCTCTTTGGGGAAATGACTCCTTGGGGAGAGGGGGGTGCCAAGGAAATCACGTCAGAATTGGAAAGGACTTCAAAGTCATCATTATTTCTTAAAGGTTCGCTTTACTATCCCATCCCCTTTGGCTTATATCATGATGCTGGGAGCATGAGATGAACAGCCTCTGCTACCAGCCATACCTGGGGAATGAGCACGGCAGGAAGAGGGATCTAGAAGGAGAGAAAGCAAATGACAACAGAAAGGAGATGAGGGAGGGAGGAAGGGAGACCGAGGCTGGCCTCCCAGGAGCAGTGGGGGAGGCCCGGCAAATGCTTCCTTCTACAGCAGGGATGGAGGCCCTGACTGACCTAACCCCGGCCCCCCCCAACTCTGCAGAAGACACACGAAAACCTTTAAGTCAGTCTCTGGGAATCCATGGTCTCCTTGGAAAGGGCCATCACTGTTTTCCGGGAGTAGAGGGAGGAGGCAGGGAACTAAAAAACCACGGCCTCGGCAAGGTGGGGGAGGACTCACCTTCCCCTGAATCCGGGTACCAACACAGGTTTGAGGCCTTGGTCCCCTTTAAAGAAGACTTCCTCTAATAGTATGGCTTGCTGAAAAAAGTCCTAGCCTAGAAGACCTGGGTTCAGTTTCTGCCTCTGATGTTTCCCAGCTGTGGGACCTTGGGCAGAAGTCCCTCCATCTCTCTGAGTCTCAGTTTCCTCACTTGTGAAAGTGAGATAATAATATCTAAGCCCCTTTACTCACAGGGCTGGTGTGAAGTTCAAATGGAATAAGGCGCTTTTGGCAAAGCCCAGAGCATTTTATAAACATCTGTGTGTCTCTTTCCTGACTGACTTCCCAACTAGAGAGTACTCTCCACGCTCCTGTAGCTGCCCCCATAATTGTGATTGGCTGGTCCCCACAAGCAGCCCCAGAGAAAAGGAGCAGCGTCCTTCCCACCCCAGCAAGGTGCCCACTTGGCAGACAGCAGGTACATGAGGGGGTCAAGGCCTTCTGTAGACTTTGGCTTGTGCAGGGTGGGGGTTCGCAGGAGCCCCTACGCCACCCTATCTAGCTCATCGCTTCATTCCCTGCTTCTTCCTAAGCGGGCTTATTGTTGGGAGAAAAAGAATAAAAAAGGACAAACTCCCAAGAGCACCCACCCACACACACACACACACACACACACACACACACACACACACTCACTCACTCATACACTTGCGGGTGCCTGCAAACCCTTCTCTGTTTACCCAGCGAAGAGCACAGCACCTGTGTGAACATCTGTCCCGCACACACTTAGAAACATTAGGAATGCTAATTAATTATCTGGTGCCCTGGGATGAGGGCAAGAGAGAGGAGCAAAAGCAGCAGCTGAGAAGAGGAGGCATTTTCCAACGTGTGATGGGTGCTGTGGGGATCGCTAGGACAAACCTGTCTGCATGCGGTCAAGAGAATAACTGACTGTGCATGTAGGCAGCAAATAAATGTATCTGCCTCCCCTCCCCCCTTCAACTCCAACACTCCTCCCAGGCCCCCATTTCTCACTCCTATTTTACAGAGAATGCTTTGCATACAGGAGGGGCTCAGTGTGTGACTGGATTGTGGACCTCCACGTTATCTGTTCTCTAGCAGGACACTGACAAAGGAAGGACAAACACCGGAAAAATCCTCCCCGCGGCTCCATGTGTTCTGGGGGGTGATAACCTGGCCTGCCAATTGTCCAGAAGTAAAGGCCATGCAGTGAGTGGTCAGACTTGTCATTTCGAAAAATAGAAAGCCAGACCCAGAGAGCCTGAAGAAGCCCAGAGAGAAGATCCCCAGCTCTGGGAGGACCAGCCGAAGAGTGAAAGCAAGAGTCTTAGGCAGCTTAATGGGCTCTGTCTGATTATCTTGGCCATCTTAGCAATGAACAATGGCTTTGTGGGAGCCTGTTGTCAGTGATCGCAAAAAGGAAAAACCAAGGGAGAAGCAGAGCTCAGGAAATGAGCTGTGGGAGGTAGGGACCAGACTGGTGTGAGGGGACGTGGGGGTCAGGGGAGTAAGTGCACTCTGGGCCAATAAAGCAATGAACAGAAGCTCTCTGGGCTGCCCCCAGAACAGCAGGACACCAAAGGCAAAGTCCTGGAGGCAGCTTGAGGCTACCATCGCAGAACAAGGGTCTGGCCCAGTCTGATGTCCTCTGGCTCCAGATTGCACATGGATGACTCTTAGGAATGGAACAAACATGGGAAAAAGAGCCACTCCCAGGGCACTGGGTGTTTCAGGAGTCTACTGACTCATCACGTGGCCTATCACTTGACATCTATGAAGGGCACGGCGTGCCTGAATTAAAGGTACGTTCTATGTCCTCAGGAATCGTGCTGTCAGAGAGATGCACCAGTGTGCATGGACTCTGGCTCCAAAACGTTCTTACTGAGCATCCCTGGCAGCATTATCGGATTGTCCTGCCCTTCAGAAGCATCCGATCCAAAAGAGATGACAATGAGACAGTGGTAAGACAGGCCCACACAGGTGTAGCCTGCTGGAAGAAAATCCAATATGCAGATATCCAAATTCTCTTACGGGAGAAATGGTGTGAATTACAAGAGGGTTTTCTATTTTACCAAAGGGATGAGTGAAGGATTCCTTCCACAGTTAACTGCCTTACACATTTTAAATAATTTCACTCATTTTAAATAAATTCACTCATCAATAATTTCATTCAAACACTCACTGGGGACACGACAAGGTGCATCTGCATTGGACAGGTTGGTAATGGATACTTTTTGCAGGCGATGCCACGCAAATGGCTTCTGGGCCCTGGAGAAGATGGAATGTGGCGTGTGAACTGTTAGTTCAGAGAATGAGGAAAAAGTGAGAGGAAGAACCGTCATTAACCTGGGGGAGCTCTTCCTAAGTCCTGGAGGTGGGGGGACGTCAGGCCCTCAAAGGCCTGAGAAGAAACATGGGATCATGGGCCGGCCTCCGAGTGGGGAGACTTGGGCTCACAAGTAGGTCTGGCCTCTGACACCGACCAGCTCCACAACCCCAGCTCAGCCACTGCGTGTCTTGAGACACCCCACCTCCCCGTACAAATAGCGGTGAACTTCCTACACTGGGCTGCTAGGTGGCGCCATACTGCCTAGAGTGCTGGACCTACAGTCAAGAAGACTCATCTTCCCAAGTTCAAATCTGGCTTCATACACTTACTAGATGTGTGACCCTGGGCAAGTCACTTCACCCTATTTGCCTCAGTTCCTCACCTGTAAAATAAGCTGGAGAAGGAACTGGCAAACCACTCCAGTATCTCTGCCAAGAAAACCCCAAATGGAGTCACAAAGAATCAAACACGGTTGAAATGATAATATAACAAACGATCCTCCACTGATTAAATTACAGGTTCATTTTTTATAACAAGGAAAAGAATATTATGATCAAGGCAGAGGGACCCTGGCCAGCTCCAGAGAAGAGCTGAGGGCAGGGACAGGATGACCTGGCAAACAGATGAGTGTGTATGTAGACCGTTTTACCGCTTGAAATTAGGACTGTTGTTTCTGGGAGGAGGTCAAAGGAGGGAGGATGCAGGAGAGAAAGCCCCCCAAAAATGGAACCGAAGCAGAGCATTTAAAACCCGTTACCATCTGGCTCCCCCAAACTTGCCAGGCTTACTGTCAGCTACTCCTGGGACCCCCCATTTTCACAGCATTCCATCTTCCCTCCATGCCTTTTCACAGTCTGAACCCCAGAATGGTAAGGTCTCCCCTCCTCACCTCCACCCAGAGAATCCTTTCAAGGCTCAAGGGCCATCTTCTCCGGGCAACTTTTCCCGCTCCCCTCGAGTTACCAACGTTCTCTTTCCTCAAATGACTCCAGACAGACAAACCCTTTCCATGTTATATTCCCACCCCAAATCCCACCCTTCCACCCCCTCCATTTTCAAAGCCCGAATCCCTTCATGAATGCTTGCTGGATTGGAGAGGAGAGCTCCTGGGTACCTCCACAATGGCCTTTCCAGGTAATTTTCAGGCTCCTGGGGCCAATCAGAGGAGGAAGGGAACATGGCCAGATCGCCAAAGATTCCCCACCCCTGAGTTACACACTTCATACTACCTGTCACCAAATACGTCAATCAAAGCCCCCAGGTTCCAGTTCCCCTTTCTGTATCAGTGAAGGCTCCCAGGCCACTGCAGTCAGCTGCAGAGCTGCATCCTCAAGAGAAAACTCAGGAAGAGAACGATGTAAAGAGCAACCTGCAGGCCAGGGGGCAGTGGGGTCTGGTTCTGCTACTACTACACATCACGGCAATTTTAAAACATCGGTTTCTTTTTAATTGTAAACTTAAGCATCCAGAGGCACAAACAGTTCAGTCTACAAAGAAATGAGGATTGTGCATGAAACTGTGGACATCCAGCATGTGGCTTTTCATTCACACTGGGCCTCCCCTCTGCTCTGTGTGCGGCCCCTCCTGAACCTCCACAGCTCTGTGTATTTTAGAAAATGCTTCCCTTGCGCCCTCTGCTTCATCTTCTTCCTCTGTAAGCCTCCTTTCCTACCCCCCACCAAAAAGACCTCATTGTCACTCTGAGCAGAAAAGAGTCCCTCTTGGGGTCTTATTTTCTACCACTGGAAAATGAGGAAAACATTCCTGTTCATTCACCTCACAAGGGTTATCAGGGATAAACAGCCCACAAAAATCTCTACACAAGACTCATGTAGTATAGTTCCCACAGCCCAGAGCAGGATTATGGCAGAGGGGTTCTCACGGCCACCAGGGACACATCCTTCCCTTCCCTCCCTGGAGGCCCGGGTGGTCTTAGGAGAAGGTCATGACAATGAGAGGAAGCCTGGAGGCCATTGCCTGTACCGCCTGGATCTCCCTGAGGTCCTGTACTTCCAGGCCAAAAGAGGTCACATAAGCCACAAGGGGGAAGTAGGTTTTCTACACTATTTTTCATTTTAGAATTTCTCTTCCAGAATGCCAAATGAGGCCTAGGTCCTCTACATTCACTTATGTGGCTCAGCGTGAGGAGGAGGGTCCTCAGTTAGCTCTTCCCCACAACAGAATGGGCGGCCTCAGGAGTTGAGGATCCCCATATTGGAAGTCTGCAGTGGAGCCTGCTCTGGGCCACTGCAGGGGTCGGTCTTATTAGGGCACAGGCGACTGCCGGACAGGATGCTCACTGAGCCCCTCGGTGACTCGGGGATTCCACAGAAAAGACAGAGAAGAGCAAGTTTTCCTTCAGAGGCCCTGACTTCACAGGGTCCCAGCAGCACACGACAGCAAGGCCCGGGTCTCTCTTCCTGGGTGCCCTCTGCCTCCTAATGCCACGGGGCAGACCACACGCCACCCCCCTTGGCAGGGAGGGGGTCCCCACCTTCACAGGTCATTTCCCCTCCCAACAGAAGCAGATCAGGCAGCCACGCTGGGCCTTGAGGCTGACCCTGGGGAGCACGTCCTCCAAGCAGAAGCTGCCAGAGACTCACTGCTGAGATCAATCAAATCCTCTCCATCTCCCTTTACTGACTTGAAGGCGTAGACGCTGACTGTTCTGGCTCATGAATCCCTCTCTGAGCAAATGTGAACTCAGACCCCCCGAAGGCAATGGAGAAACGATGGCGCTCCAACCCCGGCACAGCTGCCGCCGCCACAACGGAGATGGGGCTGCTGCCCGCCTTCGCAAGGGCGAAATAGCATTTCGAGGCAGGGGGGCCCATGACAACAGACAGGCTCCCACCATGAGCCACCGAGGGCCAGGGAACTTGAGAGGCTCTGAGGTTCGCTTATGAGGCTCGGGCCCAGCATGCCTGGCGCTCGCTCATTTTAATCTGTGCCGCAGCAAGCCTGA